GAGTCCTGAGTCCAGGCAAGGTGATTTGCCTAAGATTGCCTGTAGATTCATTTTGAGCCATCTTTCATTCCTTTGTTCTGCCTTTGGCTCATGCCAGATCTAATTTTGCTTTCACTTAAGAATTGAATTTACTTGTAGTTAGCTCTTCAGAAAAACTTCCAAAGTGTTATCTGCTGTAAACCACAATAAATTGCTAAGGATTGAAGCTTGCGTACAGAAATCTGCTGATTTCAGTAGAAGTTTGGGGATGGGGAAGGGAGCTCTGAGAGAATCACCTAGCACGCAGCTATAGCAGAAAGCTATCACCAAGTTGCTGTACAAAATTGCTATCGCAGCACAGCGAAAGGCAAAAAGGAGATGTAACCTTTCTCCTGTATTGTAACCCACCCCTTCCCGAAGTGGCCGCAGTGAATTGAAAGGAAATATTGGAGCAAGCTGTGCATTCTTCAGCCGCGGGGCCGTGTGGGCTTCCTCGGGCCCTGCGCCACACAAAGGCGAGCGCGGCTCTGCGGGGACCCAGCGGTCCCAGGGGGGCCCTGCGCGGGAGCTGCCATATCCCTCCATTGTGATTTCCCCTCGAAAACAGTCCTCTGCTTTACAAAAAGCCCAAAACACAATAGTGTGACTCAGCAGTTCGGACCTGCAGGCCATCGAGCCGGCTCTGTAAAGGTGTTGCTGCTTGTGAAGGAAGATTCCAGCGCTGCATGCTTTTGGACCTCACTTTGCCATCAGCCTTGGGTAAAGGTGACTCCTGTCAGTGCTGTGCTGAGCTGCCAGGGGCCACAGACACATCTGCCTGGGAGATGCTGTAAGAGCATTCAAGGAAAACACACATAGAAATCACACAATTGTCAAACCTGCCCTGTGATTTTGGAAAGCCATACCACAAATCATACGGCAGGCAGATGAGGCAGCTATCTTGGATTTACTATCAACAAAGTAGGTCAGGCACTGGCTTGCCAACCTCTCAGTTACCACAACAATACTATTTGTAACACACTTCGACAACAAAAAGCACCAAAGCTAAAAACTACAGCTAGTAACACTCTGTGCCCATGCTGGGGGCCACTCACTGGTCCCCTTCCTGGGCAGGAGAGAGCAAGAGAAAAACAAATGGAAAATGAGACCAGGTGGTGGTAGAAAGCAAAGAGACTGGCACAGCACCAGAGCAGCAAAGCAGATGAGAGGAAGAAAGTACAAGAGGGGAGGCAACATCAGCAAATAAGCAGAGAGGTGAAAAAGTAGCAGAAAACTTTAACAAAAGTGAGGGGGGAAAGAATATGAAAGTCAATTTAACCAGAAATAGTCCTTCTGGCTAGTCCCCCTAGAAGGAGAGTGATGACTTAGGTCAGAAGAGGGGCTGTGCAGTACCAGAGGGGAGGGCAGGGTGTGAACAAACCCACTTCCCCAGGGACTGAACAAACCAACCCCGAGGCACAGAGAGGCAGGGCACTGCCCGCCCATCTGCTCACAGCTCCCCCTGCCCCTTGCCTTGCAGCCACTGAAAGCTGGGATCCGCAGCATTGCCTGCCTCTGCTCAGGCTGGCTTCTCCCCACTTCGCCCTCTGCTCCTGCCCTTCCTCTGCAGCCAGCAGTGAGCCTGCTCTCTATGTGAAATGCTCAGGAGAGCTTCTATTGCCTCAAGCTTCTGCACAGTTACCTGATTACCTTTCAACCTCCCCACTTTTGTTCCCCACTTGTTTTCCCCTTAAGTTTGCTTCTAACCAGAAGTTCTGGGCAAGATTTTAAAATCTGAGGCAATACTCAGGTGGGACTTCTGTACCCAAGGTACAGATGGACATTTGAAAATCCAACCATTCAGGGCTTGGGACTTTTCAATAAAGCAGTCCTTTGAATTACTGTGCTATTTACTCAATTGAAGACCGTTTTTTCTGTGGAATTTTTTTAAGCCATTATGTTTAAGTCTCCCTTTAAAGATCAGACAACTCTTGTGCTTCACTGTTTTGGGGGTTTTGTTTTGTTTCTTACAGGCTGCTCCATTTTCACTGAGCACCCCCAAAATTTTTATCTTTTCTTTTCTTTTCTTTTCTTTTCTTTTCTTTTCTTTTCTTTTCTTTTCTTTTCTTTTCTTTTCTCTCTTCTCTTCTCTTCTCTTCTCTTCTCTTCTCTTCTCTTCTCTTCTCTTCTCTTCTCTTCTCTTCTCTTCTCTTTCTCTTTCTCTTCTCTTCAAAATAGATCATTCAAATAATTGGAAGCAAGTAATGAAAACTGGTCCAGGGAGTTTCATGTTCTATTATGAGTTTTCCACATGTGTCAATCTGCTCTGCCTCTGCAAACCCTCAGCACCAGGCAGGGAGGGAGGATGGGAGTTTGAAGGAAGACAAGCTCCCTTTAACAGAAAGGACAGAAGTACTATTTGCCACCTGCTGGCACCCTTTGAAGGAACTCAGCATGTTTTCCACCACAGAATCGTCCATCTACTACTATACACCTGTAGAACCTGAAGCACAAAGCATGTGAGTGGGTCCCACTGCAGTATTGTGTCTTTTGCAGAGCTGGGATGCAGGCATCACCATTTCCTTCACCATTTCCCTGCCTTCTGCATCTCTTCTTGCCCTGTCTGTCCCAGCAGTGGATGACTTGCTGGACTTTGATGAGGCGGCCACAAAAATTAAACAAAGATTGCAAAAAAGAAATAGCAAACAGTTCTCTCCAGATTTAAGGAGATACTTTACTGTAGTTTTGTAAGAGGATCTCATCTATCTCTTTAATAAGTAAAGAATTTGGGTGACACAGGACCTTCTTGTCTCCAGTGGAGAACATTTTTTTTCCCAGGGAACCTGAAGCTCAGTTATTAAAAATGAAAATCTGTCTCAGCCTTTCAACTCTGTTCTTGGAAACACCAGCCCTTAAAAAGGGGAGAGTTAAAAAGGAGCCAAACAGAGAGACTTTTTCCAGATAAAGCTTTCCTGTAATCTTGGTATCGGGACGTCGGCACTCGGCTGCAGAGAGGAGAAAAGGTGAGCTGTGTTGCTTTTTACATATCACAGAAAATGCTGTGTTTCCTCTTTGGAATTGCTGCCCACCTGGAGTGCTGAGCTGCACATGGACAATTAAAACCCAAAGAAAACCCTCTTCCCAAAAGTGCCTTATGCAACTCCCCAGGCTGGTGTGGGAAATGGGTTTTCACGAGCATTAGAGATACTGTGATGAACTGGTGAATCGTTAGTTGCAAACATTCCTTCAGGAAAATTGTAAAGCATCCTGCTCTACCAAATTATTTTCAGACTTGTTTTCCAGGCTTTGAGATTTGTCAGGAACTTGTTTGTTTTTTTCCCACCCAAATTGTAAAGTCTATCCAGTCTAGTTGTACTGGCATTTGGAGATGATTTGCCAGTGGATTCACTGGAAGAAGAATAAGATCCTCAGTTTTATGTTAGTCCTCATAAGTATGCATTAAAATATACTGCATTTACAATTAATACAGTGAAAACAAAAACTCAAGGCAGCAAAAGGAAATTTTTCTACAGAAAGTAGGATTTTTTTGCCTACATAGAAAACTTAAACTTTTGTGTTTTATTAAAAAAAAAAGTTTCTAACACAAGGAGAACATATTAATGTCATTAACTGAAGACAATAAAGATCAAAAATTACTTGAAGAATATTCTCTGGGTAGTGGAACAGGGAACACCATAGATTTACATAGGAAAATGGAGGGTCTGAATTTGCAAACAACAAAGTCCCTAGATGGACTCTTCTAAAACATATTCTGAGCTGACTGAATATTCAATGTCCTGTAAGCCCTTTAAGATAGGAAAGCTTGCAATTGGAGAAAAAAATTCTATTCCATATTTTTAATGTTTATCTTTCTTTTCATATCTTTAAATAGGTAACAATGTGAAGTACTCAGCAGCTTCTTGCACTAGATCTTCCTTTTGAACTATCAACAGAATTAGGCAATTCTGGTTTTATATTCACTTTTACTTTCTAGCTTCAGTTTTAATTTTATTGCATCTAGGACTTAATGCTTCAGTACGCTGAACACCCTGAATGGTCCTGTATTGCAACATGAACAGTCAGCACTAGGGGTCAAATTTCTCGGCTTTACTGTCACATTCAGGATAGCTGAGTGCTACTTTTCCACCATTTTCTATCCAAATATGAATGATTTTGAGGTCAAACCTCAAGAAATGACACTGAGCATTTACCAAAATAAATGAATTCTCTGCTGGTTCCAGCCAAAGGTCAACACAGCACAACACAGTCTCTGGCAGTTGTGTGCCAAAACATGTGACACACATAAATGTGATGTTTCTCTTCTGCATGATGACAACAATACAACAATTCAACAGCATCTACAGGATGACAATAACTGTATGTGGATTGTGCACAATGTACTTTGTTAGGACCTGATACTGCAAGGACTTTTCTGTTTGATGACCTATGAGTAGCACTAAGAATAATGAAAAAGCTGAGAATCTGGAATCAGTGTATGTGCCCCAAGATAGGAACAATCACTGTCATTACTTTTAAAATAAATGAAAGAAATAGATTTGGGAGTTCTTAAAGAATGTAATAAAAATGTGTCCTTTAGGTATTTTGAACTTGGGATTCCAAAAGAATTTTCCATGCAAGCTGATTTGCACAGGCACAGGTTGGTAAGGGAGGCAATGGACTCTCCATCCCTGGAAATAGTCTAAAGGCATCTGGACATGGTGCAGGTGTAGGTGGCCTTGCCTGAGCAGTGGGGTTGGACCAGATTATCTCCAGGGGCCCCTTCTACTTCAGCAGTTTTGCAGTTCTGTGATAGTCTCACTCCAAAATCAGATAGTCTCCACCAGGCAGGGAACCCTTACAGGCAGTGAAGTGTGGTGTCAAACCACAAGCTTACACATTGCCCAGCTATGACATTTAGCAGCACCATAACTTTTCATGCAGTGAGATAAAGACCTGATTCTGCCCTGCCCTGAGTGTATCTGGTGAGTCCTGAGTATAGTCAGTGTTCATCACCAATCAGTCGAAAATGTTCTTAATCTTACCCCTCTGAAGTCAGCTTGTCTTTGCAAGGAGTGGGTCAGGCCTTCACCGAATGAGGCTGCAACTCCATAAAGATCAGATACAGATTTTCTTTTAATATAGCTCTCATGAAGTCCCAATAGGGGAGTCAGACATCTGAGGAAGATTATGCTGCAGGAGTCAGTCCTGAATCCGAGAAAGGAAGATGATGAAGAAGAAGAGAAGTCATAAGAATGAGATGGGAAAAAGCAGGAGAGAGTGCACAGGAGTACAGAATTAGGAGGAAAAACATGGGCTATGGAAGAAATCCAGAGAGATGTGAGCAAATGCTGTTGTTTAGTCTCTTTAAAAACAAAATAAAAAAAAAAAGTAAGAGAAATCTTCTTGGGAACTTCCCCCTACATTATTAGCAGCCAAAAGAAATCGTATTATGTGCAAAATCTCTGTAGAATTGGACAACTGCTTAGAGAAGATGAAAGTGTATAGCAAGTGTTTTGAAAAGGAAAAGGAAAAGGAAAAGGAAAAGGAAAGGAAATTCAGGCTGACTCCAGCATACAAGAGCATGTTCAGTAACAGAGAAACGCAGACACCTCAAGCCTGGTTGTCAGTGTTTCCCTCAGCCCAATGTCTCTAAGGCATGGCTGAATTGGCAGGGCTGGCTGTAGAAAGGCTATATGGAAAATGCAAACTCCTGTCTTCAGTGTTTGCAGTAGGAGTCAGGCAGAGCACCCCAAGAGAGAGTGAAGCATTTTCCCAATCCGATGACATTATTTGGGGAGAAAAATTGTGCCTCAGTTTTGGTTTCAGAAAAGCAAGAAGGAGTAACCTTGGCAGGCTGCCTTAAAATTTGCTCCCTTCAGAAAAAAACCCCAACAGCAATAGCCTCTCACTTTTATTTATAGACAGCAAGCGATCTTGTTCTCACACACATTGACTGAAATGTGCAGCACTTTCTCCTACCAGCACTGGGTGCTGAACACAGCGAGCCTTTCCATCAGGACACAGGCCAGCTTTCTCCCAGAGTCTGGCTTATGTGAGAAATACACAGGGATGGTCAAACATGAAATTGGAGACTTTTTTTCTGCCTCACACAACAATAAAGTGTGGCAGAACACATTTAGTAAAGCCACTGATATGTGTCAGGGCAGAAGACACTGTTTTCCACTCCTCTGCACTCAGATTGAGCCCCCTGAAAAATCACCCCATTGACCAAATGTTTTTAAGATAACAAAATAAATAGAATCAACCCCGAATGTTTTTCTTGTTCATCCTTTGCTTTATGATCCATGGGACTACCCTTAATTTCCCTATTCCAACCATGAGAGCTACAAAAATAGAAAAATAGAAATGAAAACTGAGCTCATTAGACAAGACTACCCCCACCAAAGTCAAGTTGGCCCTGTGTGGGTTTTGGAGCCCACCCAGGCAGAGCAGCTTGCAAGGCCTGTGCCTAAGATCACAATGTACTCTGCAATTACAGCACAGTGCTGACAATAGCATTTTGTCAGTAAAATAAGAAATAGTTGTGAAGACATGTGAAGAATATGTAGGGGGGGATGACCAAATAAAAGAAGCAATTTTGTTCACTATTCTTTTGAGCAGTAGAGCAGGCTGACAGAAGGGTTATAGGATGGCACAGTATTTCCATCCACAGATGTCACAGGGACACTGCTGCACGTGATTTAAGATTAATCTCTTGAATCAAAATGTCACCATGTACACTAATGAGCAAAAACTCTCTGGCAGAGAATCCGTCCCTTGGGCTCCTGTTCCCAGGTAAGAAGCTTGTCTCCATGCTATTGTAGAAACTCTCTCAGCTGAGTGCACTGAGGTTGGTGGTATAACTTGCCCCTGGTTCACAATTTTCCATTTCAGACTCACTGTCTCTGTCTTGGTTTCGGTCTATTTACTTGGAGCCATTTCTTAACAATGTCTAATTTCCTCAAGGAATCCCTCTGAGTCCCCTCTCTTAGAAATGCTGCCATATCTTTTTTTTTAATCACTGAAAGGCACAAATATCCTTCCTGAGCCCTCTTACCATCCAGCCTGATTATACACATAGATTTCAGTTTCCATACATTTTCTACACAGTAGGAGTTCCCAAAATGCAGCCTCTGGGGATATAAAGTGTGGCCCCAACTGCAGCTCAATGAGATGAAAACAAAGCCGATCAGGTACTGTTTTACTGTTAATGAGCCTAACCAGCAGGCAGTTATTACTCAGTCTGGAAGACATAAGTGGTTGGAATCACAGCACATTCATTTTTTATTTATAGTGATGCACATTCAAATTAGAAGTAGCCCTCCAGCAGCTGGCATTTTGCCAGGGTCTGACCATCAGTGTGATAAAATTTGACTATCTTGAAGATATAGAATGCCTTTTGTTGCCTTTGTTTGTTTTTTTTAATATCAATCTTCTCCTACTCACAATTCCCTTGACTATCAAAAAGTGAACAATGAGGCTTAATTAATTTAGGAACCTTGTCCCTTACTGAAAATGAAAGAAAAGAGTATTTTATCTTTTTTACTTGATGGTGAGGTACAAGTCAAACTTGATCTGACCTTGTAAATAAGTAGACTCAAGCCTTCTGGCAAATAAAAGAGTCAAAATGAACACTTGGACGCGAACCACAAAGAAATGGGTTTTTGGAGACAATGAACATTATTAACCTGTTAATCTATTAATGGCAACTGTAAATACCTCACTCCAAATCATAGTGACTCTGAAACATTTAACTGGAGGCTCTGTGAGCCTGCCCAGGACAATGCGATACGAGGAAAACGTAGTAATTCGCCTCACCTTGCCAGCCATCGGTTTGCAATCTAACCCCTCCCCTGAGTTTAAGTTACAAACCTCAGTAACTGTGTGGCAGACTTGACAGCAATTAACATTACTCAGCTGCCAGCTGGGTTTTAAAACCTCCCTTCCAAGCGATCTTGTTACGTAGGTTTTAAAAACAGCCTGACAGGGCGCTGCCCTGCGCCAAGGAGCGGGGTCCTGCCTCTCTTAACATGGTGAGATTTTGCCACTGATTACAGGGGGAGCCGATAAATCACTGGCAGAGTAAAGGTAAATGCACCGAGCTGTTGTCTGCAGCATGAGGCTTGGGGGTTTTATTCTAATCCCACCGAGGGGGCCTCACAGAAAGCGCTATAAAGAAATTATCCTTCTCAGTTTAATTCTTTCGTCCTGTGCAGTCCTGTAGTCGTACTCATCCACAGGAAAGAGCACAACACACTGCGAAGAACTCCTGGACCCTCACGCCTCAGCGTTCAGACTTTACAAGTCAGGAAGAAGTTTCTAAGTCATTTAAAGCTGAAAAACCAAACTTTTGTTGGAAATCAACTACCTGGAGTGGCAGTCCCATCAGATTTAAAGCTAGCCCAGGGGCGGCGGCTCAGCTCCGAGCGGCGGGAGCACTCCCTCCCGCTGAGGGCCGCCGGGCGCCGAGCCCTCACTGCTCCCACCTGGCCCGGCCCGNGCCGTCAGCTGTTCGCGGCGCGCCCGCCGGCGCCGGCCGCAGTTTGGCGGCGCGGAGGCTGCAGCGGCGGCGGCGGCTCCTCCCGGGACGCCCCGTCCCCGAGGGACGCCCGTCCCGCTTCTCGGTGAGTGCCCGGAAAGCGCCTTCGCCACTGGGGGCCGGCCTCTCTGTGCCAGGTTGCCGTTGAGGGCGGTGCCGAGGCCGGGCGCGATCGTGACAGGGAAGGGGGTTCGCCTCGGGGCAGCCCCGGCCCGGCCGGTCCTGCCCGGAGTCCCGGGCCCGCTGGGGAGCGGGAAGAAACAGGGAGGGTGCGGGCGAGGAATGAGCTCGGTGGGCGCTGAGAAAGCAGCTGATTCGCTGATGTAGGCGATGGCTGATTCCACAGCCAGCGTGCCCCTCCCGGGCCGCCCCTCCGAGCTCGGGAGTCTCGTCCCACGGCGCTGCCCGGAGAAGTCGCGTTAAACCCCTTGGCGGGGGGCACATCTGCGGGGCTAGAGTCCGGGCGGGGAAGAGTTAAGGGCGGCCAGCGGTGGCGAGGCGAGGCCGGCCAGCTTTGTTTTGGGACGCTGGCACGCACGTGTGCGCTGAGCCCTCCCTCCGCTCCCGGCGCGCCGCCTGTCAGCGCGGGCGCGCGGCTGCCCCGGCCCGCCGCTGTCGCCGCTGCCTTCTGCAAGGAAGTGCCGTGGGTAGCACACGGCACCGGAGACGCGGGAGCTGCCCGGGCAAAGACCTAGCCCGAGCTGTGCGGTGTCTGTGGCTCCCAGCGTGAGCTGCGTTTGGAGGTTGTCGAAGGAATTCCAGTGAGATGTAGGACGAGCTGCCCTTCGCGCTGCCTCGGCATTCCGTGAAAAGCTCTGAAAAAGGGTCGGACCGTATTGCAGGAGGTCGAGTTAAACTTCTTGCTCTTTAAACTCTCTTTTGTTTGGGGTTTGCTTTGTGCCTTTGCTGCACTTTCCTTGAGGAATGCCCGTGTCCCAGTGAAGCTGACAGATGAGATCTGGCAAACTTTCCTGCAAAGACAAAATACATTCCCACCTGCCTCTCTGTCAGGTGACTGATCCAGCAGAAGAGCTGGCAAGGAAATCATCCATGCCTGCCTCTTGGGGCTCATAACTCCTTTCAGTGTGCTACTTTAAGCCGTGGATGAGAATGTTATGAGTGCTCTGCCACTGTTGTCATCCAGCAGAGCTGCATCCAGCTGTGGAGCTGGTACCTGTTCTGCTCTGCAGAAGCTTCTTTGGGAGTTGTGGCTCAGTTGAGTGAACTGCTGAGATGCGGCAACTTAAACAGACATAGTGCCCCCTGCACTATGTCAGTCAGAGCCCTGCAGAAACAGTTCTTGCACTGGTCCTGTTGTCTCTAGTGTGCTGGTGTCCAGAGTACTGCTCACCTGGGGGGAGATGGGAGCACCAAGGGCAGTGCTGAACACATCCTTATAAAATTATTATTAATGTCTCCTTCAGGCCTGAAATTCCTCTTGCTAGTCTTCCATTCTGTTAAATGCTTCGCAAACCAGAGCAAAGGAAGAGACATGAAGAGTTGAATTTCACTGCCTTGTTTGGAACTGGGTGGAAATCCTGGAGATGGATCTCTTAGGAGTCTGTCTTCCAATTGGGTTAGATGCACAGGTAACAGTAAAGGGACTTGTGGCATTTTTGGTAATACTGCTAATTGCTTTATGTTTGCAAAGAGCTCTGAAATAGTGATGTAGGGTTCATGGGGTTTTTTTCCCTCTACCATCTTTGTTCAGCTTTGTGCTGTAACAGAGCTCAGGAGTGTTTACTGTGGCAACTACAGAAACCCTGCTTTAAACACTGACACCAGCCATGTTTTTCTTTAGTGGTAGGATGAACCACTGCACTAACAGTGCATGTAGGCTTGAGGGTAAGAGGGATAAGGAAGTGACTACATTGCCAAGTTTGGGACATGTCTTAAGTTGAGCTGAGGGGAGAAATGAGAAGTTGAAAGGAAAGCTGGCCCTCATAGGGAGAAGTAATGGAGAGCTTCACTGAAGTGGCTTTGACAACTCTTATGTTTTGCAACCACTGGGGTTTCTTAAAAATCTGGCCTTGCAGCCTTATGATTACAAGGTTTTCTTCAAGCCTATTTCTTATTGATTACAAGCTTTTTTTCAACAATAAGAAATAGGTGGGAAAAAGTGAATGGGATATACCATAAAGTTCAAGTATAGCAGGCCAAAACAAAGCAGACCCCAAAGAAGCTGACTGGCCATGGGGCTATTAGAAGAATTTGGGTTGCTTTTTAAAACGTCTTTTCTGTTTCTGTGTGCTGAGGTTGGGGGTTGGCTTTCTACTTGTGAGCCAGCAAGTAGAATGTGGAATTGGAGCTGTGGACTTATACATGTGTGAACTTTGTCTCTCTCTGGCCCAGCACCTGAGGACTTTCTGCAAAGCCTTCACCTTCACCACAGGTCACTCACCTCTCCTGTCCATGCAGATGGGCAGCACTGGGAAGTGGGGAAGAGGGAAGGTTTGGTAAAATCGGTTGTGTTTTATTGTTGGAGCAGAAGATATTCTCTCCTGGACAACTTTCTTGCTGTGTCTTAGCTGTTTCCTCACATGTCCCTTTATTGCAGGAGCAATGGATCGCCCCAACTACCTGGAAGAGGACTATTCTAGCCTGGATGGGCTGGACGATGACGTGTTTCACTCTGATGACTTTGGACTTGCAGGTCAGCCTGGTGAGATGACTGCAACTGGCTTTTTCACACAGAACCAGTCCTACAGCTGCCTTCTGGGGAGGTTTCAACTATTCCCCCTCACACACTGCTGTGGTCCCGGTATCAGGCATCCTGAGCAGCAGGACAAGGCAACTCAAACACTCAGCCCATCCTCTTCCAGTCAGGATGTTATGTTGCCTTGTGGAGTCACTGAAGAGCCACGGAGACTCTTCTATGGTAAGAGCACTCCAGTGTCACTAGCTTTGCAGCAAAGAAACTGTCCCTTTAGCTTCCCCAATCAAGCGAAGTCTCTTTCATTAGGGCGTTTTATTAAAGGACTGAAATTATTTTGCTTTAGTCCTACTCCCTCAAGAAAGACAAGAAACTTGTATTTTCTTACCATTGCTTGTCTACTGCAGGAACCAGACACTTGCTCATTGCTTCTGCTTGTCTTTGATATTTCTTTTCTCTCTCTTTGGTTTTATTCTATCACATTTGATCTTACTGCTAGATGTCTAAACGTTCACCGTACTTCATATCTTACAATTTGCCTACATTTTTAACTACCAGTGGTCTGTCTCATCCACGTAGGAAGTGGAAACTCCTAGAAGTTTTCAGTGAAGAGAAGAAGATGCAAAAAGTTACAGCTTTTAGGCTCTTCACTGGAGTTAAAGTTGCTGAATAAGTAGCATGTCCATCTGGTATTTTACTAGTAACTGATGGGTCACCACTCAGCTTTGTGTATCCAATTCAGCTTTAATTCAAATCACTAAAATCACTAAATTACAGAAAAATAAGAAAAGACTGACACAAAGATACTTCTACCTTTGAGGGGAGACAACTTGAGGCAGAGATCCTGTAAAACTGCAAAACTGTCCTTAAAAAAAATCCCAAGCCACAGCATTTGGCTGAGCTGTAAGCAAGCAAAATTAAATAAATTTTAAGATCCTGCCACTCATTTGACTATGGGAATCAACACAATGCTCTGTTTAATGAATATAAGTTTATTTGAAAGCTGGGCAAATCTTTTACTGCACTGTGTTACAGTATACAGTCATTGTTTGGCCTTCAGGAACTAGACTTGAAAAGTCAAAAATGTAGGACTATGTACAGCTCTTTCCTCCACAAAGTGTACTCAGCAGAAAAGATAATCTTTGCACTGAGAGAACGACACTTCTGCTCTGTTTTGTAGGGAGTGCTGGTTACCGTTTACATGTCCCTCCAGCTGGCTTTGTGTTGGATCCGCACCTCCAGGAGGAAGCTCGGGAAGGTCAGCGGGAAGCACGAGCTGAGGTGCAGATTGCACGGAAGTTGCAGTGCATCGCCGACCAGTTCCACCGGCTCCACATGCAGAGGGTAGGGTGTCTCTGGAGGGGAAACTGGGGGTTTACCTGTCCAAGAGTGCTACTCTGAAGACTGGCTCCAGCCATCAGCTAAGTGAACTGTTGTTTAAGACAGCATACTGCCAACAGTGATAAAATGGCAGGAGTATCCTGATGGATTTTGCTTATGCTAGATTGCTTGCTCTTCCTAAAGACTGGCAGGTGGAGGGAAGAGAATATGAGGGAATATGAATATAAGCATTTACTGCCCAGGAAGGGAGCTCTTCTGTCTTAGATGTTGCTATTCCAGCTCTTCCTGTTCATCAGCAGTGGGGTTTGAGGCTTTTCCCAGGGATCTTCCTCTTGCTTTCTATTACAGCTTTTACTCTTCTCCATTCTCCTCGCCACCAGCACCTTCTCTTCTGTGGAACATGTAGCCATCAGTGGCTTATGTCAGATCCTTGTCTTGGAGATAACAAGCCTGGGTCTGTTCTAACGCTTCTTGTTGTCTAATGGTAGTTCTATGTAATGTTGTAAAGAATATTTAGATCATACTAGACTTGCTAGCAGCTACTAGTAAGACAGTCATAGCTAGTGTCTCAGACTTGTGACTAACTTCCTCACCACAAAATACACCTGTAAGATGCTATCAGGTCTGAAAAACACACTCCAGATTCTTGGTTTCTTAAAAAAAAAAACAAAAACAAAAAAAACTCGAAAAAAAAACAAACCCAACAACAACAAACAAAAAAAAACCCCACCAAACCAAAACCCAAACACTGCTGTTCAAAGAAACAAAATAACCATTACCCCCAGAACCCTCGATTCTTTCTTCCTTGCTCTCCTTCCCCTTTGAGTAGAGATAAAATGGAAATCTCAGCCCATACAGAGATGGTCAGAGGTGGCAGAAGCTTGGCAGTTCACAGCAGTTTGCCACTTCTATGCAAGCCCAACAAGGAGGGTGTGCATCTGCTTGTATATGAAGAAATTTTGATGACTTCAGACAGGGACAGAAAGTTTATCCTAGTCCAAGTGAGTTTGTCCTCTGTTAACTGTGGGATGGTTTGCAGCCCTTCTCAAAGGTAAGTGAGGGACTCTGTCCGGGTCAGAGAGTGTGGCTTGTGGCTGGGCAAAGGCTTGGTCCCCTCTGTGTCACCTGAGAGATGAGGAAATTCTGGGACTCCTGCATCATCCTAATAAGTGGATGATTAAAGAAGGAAAAGGAAGATTAGCCTGTAGAAATGTAGATGGGGCTATGAATGTCATTTAGCGAACTGCAGGAATAAAGAGCTACCACGAGATTTTTAACGTGTTGTTTGTGGTTGAATGGGGTTTTCCCCGGTGGCGCCTTTTCGCCAGCGTTAGCTGCAGGCCCCGCTCTCTCGCCAGGCTGTCTCACAGCAAAGGGAAGGTTTAACCAACTTGGCAGAGGAGCCCTGCACTGAACTGGTGGAACTGGTTGTAACTTGACCCCTTTCATCTGGGGGGAGTGTCCCTATCTGATGCCCGTGCTTTGGAAAGGCGTCCGGGAGCGCCCACCCGCCCCGGCCCCACTAGGGCGGGCGGGGTCGGGCTGCCGGTGCCCGGCCGCGGCTCCCGGTGCCGGCCCGGCCGCGCAGCCCCGGCCGGCGGCCAGCCCGGCGTGTGGAGCCGTAGTAAACAAAGGCGTCCGGCTGTGCTGGGCGGCGCGGCCCGGCCCGGCCCCCGGGGCCCGCCAGAGGAGGGGCTCCGCGCTCTTTGTTTGAACTGGAACAGCAACAAGTTGTAAAGGGGACAGGAGCGGGGGGCCTTCAGCCATTTAAATTTGAAAACAAAACGGGGAAAAAAATACCAAAACCAACTAGAAAACTTAACCCGAGGACAGAGTAGTTCAGCCAGTGGTTATCCACAGCCTGACCCTGGGATAGGCCTTGGCATTTGGATCTGCTAAGGGATTCTTTCTTGTTTGTCAGGGAAACTGAGTATCGAGCCACCTATTGGTGTCCAAAGCACTGATCCCTGTGGAGTGTTTTGTTGTCATGCCCACTCCCTTCCCTCCCAGTCCTGCATGGAGGATTTCCTTTGGCTTTTGGCATGAATCCCTCTGGAGAACCCCCTGTCCTATGTGCAGTGACTGCCCAGCCCGTTGCTGAAGGAGCAGGCGGTCTGCCCTGGAGACACGTGAGCAGTTCACAATGTGCTGTGGTTTGGAAGGGGCAGTCTCTGAGGCATGGAAAACTGGGCTGTCGTTTATCTTGCTGTAAAACTAACCCCTGATTTGAAAACCCCATTTCAGCTTGTCTCAAACATTTGGTCAAAACCAACTTTCCAGAGTGGTGTCTTGAATCAGATTTAGAATACCACAAAGTTAGTCACACCAGTGTGGTCTTGTGAAGTCCTGAGAGGGAGAGCAAGCTTGGTTTTCAACAAGCTGTGCCTGTTTTCAGAGCCTAAAAAACATTTATCTGTGAACCTGTGAAAAGAAAATGTGTGTGCCCTTCCAGTGGAAGTTAGGAAAGGCTTTTAGCACTGGAATGGTGCATCCAGCTAGCTCAAGAGCTGCCTTCTCATGGCTCTTGACTTCTGTGAGACTCTCCAGCAGTTCAGGTATGGCCCCCATTCTGCTGCTGCAGCAGCAAGGCTGTGTTGACACAAAGGCTGCTGGTTAATGTACATCCCTGGCTGAGAGAGAAACTGAGCAAGCAATTGCTGCTGAGGCTGACATCACTGAGTTGTCATTGGACTCTGCTGCATGCATGGTCTAACCCCATCCTACACTTGGAGCCCTGGAGAGTCACTGTTATCTCTTCTCTGGGTTTCTGGAGCTAAATGGTATTTATTCTGTGGTTCTTGGCTATACAAAAGATTTTTGGGTATGCATCTAGTAAGAATAAGAAAATTGGCTGCACCTATGCTTGCTTTTTGGCATGAAAATCACTTTCAGAGTTTCATTTCCTATTAATATGTTAAACAGAAAACAGTAATTTAAAACCTGGCTATTTCATCCTTAGAACAGTGCTAGAGCAATAACACAACATTCCCTAGAACTCCATGTCTTTCATCTACTTAAGATGCTGAATTTCTTGTAAGAAGACTTGAGCAACACTCTGTGTTCCTAAATAGCAGAGCCTGCTACAGGTTGATCTAGATTGCAAGGGCTCTGCAGAATGACATGTGAGGCCCATCTATGTTTTCTTGAGTTCTTTACTGTCTCTTACTTGATTGAGGCTGTGTAGCTTCTAGCAAACTTTCCCTGTTTTATTTTTTTCACCCTGCCCCTGGAGAGCAAAGGTAGAGGCAAGTATGCTTTCTGCAAGAGAAGCCAGTACCTGCCACCTCCTCCTTGGTTTGAAGCAAGTGTGTCTTTGCTATGGAATTGGTGAGCTGCTGCTGTAGCTCAGCCTGTGGCTGAGGTTATGGAGAACAGAGCTTCTGAGCGTATGGGACCTGTGGGTTGGTTGGCTGAGATGTGCTTCCCACACCCCACATGTCCAGGCTGTGGCAACAAGTGCTTGGGCTCTGCTTCAGGTCCTGAGTGCACTTGGGTTTCCTTGCCTGTGAGGAATGGAGAGTGTATTTCATGACATGAGGGGTTGTTAAATGGGATGTGAGTACACAACAGGAATGGCGGCGGCAGCAAAGCCACCCCAGAGGAGCAGGGGGTTATCCAGGGGTGGAATGGATGACACTGTATATCAGGATCACACCCCTTCAGTTTGACGGGCTCCAATGAGGCACTGGAACTCTATAGCTTTTTCCAAATAAAATTACTCTTTTAAAGCAGGCTGCAGCTTTGAGGGGACTGCTTTTATCGTATTTCTTCTTCATGGAGATAAGATCACTTCACAGGGGATAAAATTGTCTCTTTAAGAGCCAAGGAGTGGTAGCCTTGAACAGTTCTGGGCTCAGGTCCAAGCAGAGCCACTGACTTGCTGTATGACCTCAGACAAGTCTCTTGACCTCCTTGTGCTTCAGTCAACCCATCTGGAAAGCTCAGTTTAAAAAAAGCTGAGCCTCAATGAGAACCAGATGCTGAATCAGAACTGAGCTTTCTTGAGTAAATAAGTGCATTACAAACAACAACAAAGTCCCTTTCCAACACATCAGGAATCCTGCAGTTGATTTAGATATGCTGACCATGCTCAAAAATCCTCTGTGGATCTAGCTGTAGAAAACTTTGTTTCTCTAAATTCCCCAGTTGGTTCAGCAAGTAAGTTTTATCATCACTGCAACAGGGTTCAGCAGCCCATGGAACACAAATCCCTGCATCCACACTGGCTGTGGGCAGACAGCTAGGCATGTACCTGTTTGCCTCAAGCTAATGACACTGAAAATGTCCAGAAGGAAATGTTATTTTCCTTTGAAAGTGAAACGTGTTATGTTTTGCATACTTCTTCCTGTCTGTCTCTCATAAGAGTTATCAAGGCCTCCTCTGAGACACTTCTACTTATGCAACAGGGAGCCTGCATCGCTTGTCGGAAACTTATTGGCACGAGAGAATGGGTACATGGTACTACAGGAGCATCATTTATCTCAAACTCCAACAGGCTTTTTTCACTATTAAGGACATTCAGGGCACTTTTAACAGTTGCTTTTTTTACACTGGCATTGTTTGAAGGAATTTGTTCTTTATGATGACCTTATATTTTAGTAAAAATGTTCAGGAAAGCTTCCTAATAATAATGCAGAGATTCAGACTGTCCTAGCTAAGCCTGTAGCACCAGTAGCTCCACACTTCACTTGTACCTGCAGTCTCTTTAAGACCTGGGGTACGTGTTTTCGTTCATTTGTTTCTTGAGTAGGTCAGTGCGTTTCAGGATCTTCCCTGCTGGCTGGTCCTTGCTGCTGCTGTGCACAGCAGTGGGTCACCTCTTCAGCTCTGCTTTCTGTGTGCTGCCCACTGGTGCGGGACTCAAATCTCCAGCTGAGGATGCACAAACATGGTGAGGGAGAGAACTCCTGAAGTGAGCGAGCCCAGTTTAAAGGATGGGGGGTAGGGTGGGTGTGAGTTTGGGAAGACTGAGATGTAAAACAAAGTTCCTTCAGGGCTATGGA